CATCTAGTCTGGAGGGAAAGTGCCCATGTTGGACTCCACAGGATGACTGGACAAGTGACTCAGCCTGTCCTAGTCTGTTTTCCATCAGTTAAGTGGGGATAATAATAATAATAAAGCCCACCTCTAGGGGTTGTTAGATGATAAAAATGGGTTGATACCACAAGAAGCACTTTTCAGTCTCTGGCACAGTGAACATTAACTGGCAGTGATTGTGACTATCTTCTGTGGGAAGTTCAGTTTTTCCATCTCTAAAATGGGTCCTGGAGTCCTGGTGTGGCGCTGGTGTTTAATGTGCTGGACTGCAAGGTCGGTTTGAACCATAAGGTCTGTGGTTCAAGCTCACCAGCTGCTCCTCAGAAACCTTAGACAGGGTGGCTATGATTCGGAACTGACTCGACGACGCGTAACAACAACAACAACATGAGGGGTCCTGGTGTGGTGCTGTAGGATAAGCACTGGACTTCTAAACGCAAGGTTGGGGTTCAAACTCACAAGTTGCTCCTCAACAGCCCTATACAGGGTCACTATATGCGGAAACCACTCGACTGCGCTTAACAAACAAAAAAAACAAGGTAGTGCGCTTGCCTGAATATAGACCCCCACGAGCTACAAGTGCAGATAGGGCCAGTACAACTGTGGGGTGGGTGGTCCCTGGCTCTCAGAAGAGCTTCCTGGGGTGGGCCGGGGGCTGCCCGGTCCGGTCCGGTTGGGTCCGGTTCCTGGTGTGGGCTGGGTGGTCCCTGGCTCTCAGAAGAGCTTCCTGGGGTGGGCCGGGGGCTGCCCGGTCCGGTCCGGTTGGGTCCGGTTCCTGGCGCCTAGCCAACTGCTAACGCGCCAGGTTAACTGCTCGGTTGCGGCCCCTTGCCTGGCTTTTTTCCCATTTGAGTAACACCTGGGCCAGCGGGTTCACCTGCCCGCTGCCGCCGGAAGTTGCGCAAACGTGGGTTGCCTGAGCCCCAGGTGGGCCGGGCTGGAGGAGCTCAGGGCAGCGGGGCGCGGGCGCAGCCAGGTACGTGCGGGTCGGGGCTGGGGGGCCAGGCTGGATTGGGAGACTGCCGGAGAACCCCTTCCTTCCCCCGGAAGGCGGAATCTCACCTTCTGGCCTGGACCGGACCGCCAGGGTCGTGTAGTCAGTCCTCTCATTCCCGAACTGGGCTAAACGGGATCTCAGAGAGGAGACACAACCGCCGGTGGCCCCTTCCTATGCCCGCCCTGGGGTCCCCAGATTGCCTCGAGGTGGGGAAGGGAAGGTTTGAGATGAGAGTTCGCCTCGCGGCCCCGCGGAGCTTGGGGGAGGGGCCGTAGGGCTGCTTGTCAGATGATTCCAAATAAATGGACCTGGGACCTCTGCATTTGAAAGCATTTGTGGCAGTCTTTGTAATTCCGTGCCCACTGGGCTGGTTGGGAGATTTGGTGTGAGAAGAGACCTCAGCGAAGACAATGGGTCCCACCTGGGATCCTGGCTTCAACTCACAAAATTGGCAGCCCCTTCTTTTGCCCACCTGTGAAATGGTGGTCTTTCTCAGGTCAGCTTAGATTAGCCTCTGTCGTGGGCTGCCTTGTCTCCTGCTCCACTGCTGACATACCCCTGTGGAGGGTACTTAGGGACCCCTGTACCTGCACCCCCTCTAGAGTTGGTCTGCAGTGGCTTTGGTTGTCAAAGTGATCATAACAAAGAACCCAAGTCATGGAGTGGGCTAGTCCAGTGGTGAGGAAAGTCGGCTGACCTGCTTTATCTATCCATCCTCACAATGACCTGGAGGCTTGGAAGGTCTATTTTTATCTGCATTTCAAGATAAGGAAATCCAGTCTGTAAGAATCCTGTAGCTGGCTCCAGGCACCAGTGGATGGTGGGCCAGCCCCAGGGGAGCAACCAGTGACCCCTAAGCTGTGCCTGGCTCCTCCCTCTGACCCCATCTAAGGAGACCCAGGGGTTGACAGTTGTGTGTGTGTATGGGGGTGAGGGTAGGCAGGGGTTGGTGGTAGTGACGCAGTGAGACTCCTGCCCCAGCCCTGTGCATCTGACCTCCTTCCCTCTGCTTTCCAGTTAGGGAACCCCCGCCTCCAACGGGTTGGACTGGTTTGGGAGTCGTCGGGGTGGGGCAGAGTCTAGCTATGTCATTGGGGCTCAACTAGGCCTCCCTTCCTGTCTGACCCTTCCTACCAGAGATCTCCTGGGGGGTCAGTCCTGAGGGGGTGAGCTTCTCTTCCTGCCTATTCGATTCCATCTACCTAGAGAGTCACACTGACTGGGCCACCATTTCCACTCCACTGCTGAAGAAGAGGTGCCAGCCAACTACTTGTGGGCCAGATTGGAGAGGGGTGCGTTGAAGAGGGGGGCAAAAATGTTGGCAGACATGGCTTGTTTGGTCTGTACCTGCAAGGTTTTGTAAATTATTGTTGAATTTGCTTACATTTAGAGTTTTTACACACTCCTGGATTTGTGGTTCCCTAGAAAGGTGGGTTAATGCGCCAGACTGCAAAGCCGTTTGAACTGCAAGGTCGGTGGTTCACACTCACCAGCTACTCCTCAGAAACCCTATATGGAGTCGCTGTGGGTCGGGATTGACCCAACAGCACTTGACAACAACAAGAAAGGTTGAACCACTTTTGCACCATGGGTGAAAGATGTAGTTGTCTGCTTCTGTAAAATACTGTTGTTATTAAATGCTGTTGAGTTGGTTTCCACTTATTGCGACCCTGTATAGGGTTTCCAAGGATCCGCTGGTAAGTTTGACCCGCCGACCTTGCAGTTCAAACTGACCTTGTGGTCCAGTGCCTTGGATACCCTAGGGGACAAGTTCTAATCTGTCCTCTAGGGTTGCTGTGAGTCAGAATCAACTCAACGGTAGTAGATACCTCAGTAAAGTGTTTGTCGGAGCCTTAGTGGCACAGTGGTTAAGTGCTGAACTGTTTGAACTCGCCAGCTACTCTGTGGGAGAGAGATGCATACGTTGGCTTCTGTGAAGATAACAGTTTCAGAAACTTGTGCAGGCAATTTGACTCTTAACACATAGGGATCCACTAGACAGCAGTGATTTTTATTTTTTTATTTGGTTTAGAACACTCCATCTGGCCCTTGGGCGTATTCTCCAGGCCATTCCTAGTTTGGCTGTTAATGGGGGCCTGCAGGCATGTCATTTCAACAAATATTTATATATTGAGCAATGTCTTGAAAGGATATATCATCAACAAAATAGACCAAAACCCCTGCCCATATGGAACTGACGTTTTCAGTGGATGGGAATGAAAAGAAGTAGAACACCAGTAGAGAAACAATGAGTGAATTATTTGGTACTTGTGAGGGTGGTTAATGATTAGGAGAAAAGAAGTGGTCTGCAGGATTGAGGGGTTGGAAGTGTGGGGAGAGATAGGGTGCAATATTGAAATAAGCATGGCCAGGGTAGGCTTCATGTGAGTTTGTGTCTTATGTATGAGGGCTCATCAAAAAGTTGGTGGAAATTTTTCACTATCTTTAAACTCCACCAATGTCATCTTTAAACTCCACTCATGTCATCTTTGAGACATGTTTCTCGAAGTCTCCATCTCTCCATCTGTAAGATGAGGTGACAGTGATCTACCTCCCAGGCTTGTTGGGTTACAGGTAAGGAAGGGAGTCCAAGTCTGGCACACAGTAGATTCTACACTGCCTCCCCTCTCACCTGGGATTCTAGGTGAGGCTGTCCTCTAGGGCTTTCTGCAGTGATGGAAATGCTTGACTCTGTGCTGTTTAGTATGGGACCAGTGGCCACGTTTGGCTGTTGAACGTTTGAAGTGTGGTTAGTGTGATTTGGGAATTGAATTTAAATTTTGATTTCATTTAAATAGTCACCTGTGGCCATTGACTTGGGCTGCACAGCTGTGGATGGCCTGACCTTTGTGTCCTCTTGGGAATCTCCTAGCTTGAGCCCTTCCTTCTGTGTTTTAGAGAGGAGGGGACTGGGAACTTGGGTGTGGGGCTTTTTTCTGCCTCATACTCAGGGTTTTGTGGCCCTGGCCTTTCTTTGAAAGCAGGACAGATGTGGCTTACATTTGAATGACCACATGGACATATACAATCAGACTTGGGTGCCCATCTTACGGTTGCTGGTGGGTGGGGGAATCTGCTGGAAATGTTTGTCAGGGGTGTCTGATCATGAACATTTTCACCTTCTCTGGGCGCAGCATAGCTCAGGCCTCACGTTTCTATCCACTGGCATCTGTAGATGACTTCGACCTGCTATTTGAATCCTATACTGGAAGCTGATGGACTGCTTGGACTGACCTGGGTGGGGGTGGGGACTTTCTAAACTCCTCCCCCCACAAGTGCTCTGTGCCTGGGGCCTGGCATGTCTAGGCGAGTGGATGGCACTGGGGCAGCTTCCTACCTGAGTGAAGGGGTAGAAAGAACCCAGACTGGGGTGTTGGAACCCTTTCACTTGGTCACCCAACCCCAAGACCCTTGTGCATCAAGGTAAGGAGCTGGTCCAGCTGACCTTTTGGGCAGGACCACCAAATTGCTGGCTGGCTTAAGCAAGTTGCATTTCCATCCTAGGTTTCAGTTTCCCCATCCGCAAACTGGGATTGTTGAGAGAAGCAACTGAGGTGCAGCCCGCAGGCCCCCAGCACTGGGCTGGGCACACACTTTATTCCATTAAAACCCTTCCTTCCCCTGTATTTGTCGCAACGGTTGCCCTTTTTCTGTCTCCTGGCACTTTTTTCTCTCTGCTGGGCCTGGTCCCTGATGAAGGCGGGGTGAGTGGGCGGGGTGACAGACCTTTCAGTAGTTGCTTGTGCCAGCTGATTGGCTCTGTGGGGAAGGGGCGTGGCCTTACCTTATAATAGGGAAGGAGTCTTCAGGCTCTCTGCGTTGGCTGAGCCTTTGTCTGAATGAGCTCAGCCTCTTTCTTTCTTTTCCTGCAGCCGTTGCCGGCGTCCAGCTGCCAACTTTCTGCCTGGATCTATCTTCTCCTCATCTCTCCAGATTCCTTAGGCCGAGGCCCTCGGGGTATGTAATAGCCATGCCCATGGACACGCTGGCCCCTGGGTCCCCTGCTGCCCCAGCCCTACCTCTCCGCCTGCGGACCAAGGTCCCTGGTTACCTGCGGCGGCCAGCAGATGGTGGAGCTCGGAAACTCAGTGCTGTGGAGCGCCTGGAGGCGGACAAAGCCAAGTATGTCAAGAGCCTGCATGTGGCTACCACCCGCCAGGAGCCTGTCCAACCCCTACTGTCCAAACAGCCCCTTTTCAGCCCTGGGACTCGCCGCACAGTGCTCACGCCTAGTCGTCGAGCCTTGCCTGGCCCTGGCCGCCGACCCCAACTGGACCTAGACATCCTTAGCAGTCTCATCAACTTGTGTGATAGTCCCGTGTCCCCTGCTGAGGTCAGCCGGACCCCTGGGCGGGCCGAAGGAACCCTCCAGGACCTCCCAGCTACACCCCCACGGCCACAACTCAGCACAGCTGCAGTCCGCCGAGTAGACGTCCGTCCCCTGCCTGCCTCCTGTGTCCAGCCCTGCCCATCACCAGGGAGTGCCGCTGCCGCCAGTCCGGCCTGGCCACCGGGTTTGCAGCGCTCCAAGTCAGACCTGAGTGAGCGCTTTTCCAGGGCAGCAGCTGACCTTGAGCGGTTTTTTAACTTCTGTGGCCTGGACCCAGAGGAGGCACGGGGACTGGGTGTGGCCCACTTAGCGCGGGCCAGCTCGGACATCGTGTCTCTGGCCGGGCCCAGTGCTGGACCAGGCAGCTCCGAAGGGGGCTGCTCCCGACGCAGCTCTGCCACGGCTGAGGACCGAGCCCGGGAACGCGTCCCTTATGGCGTGTCAGTGGTAGAGCGCAATGCGCGTGTCATCAAGTGGTTGTACGGGTTGCGGCAGGCACGGGAGACCCCGGCAGTCGAGTGCTAGTCCTCCACTGGACAAGGCATTTGCCACAGAACAGATTTTAGAAATGCAGTTGGCCTCTTTACCGCTCCTGCACTCATTCTCAGCCCCCAATGAACTTGGTATGAGGCGCAGAGGCTGGACCAGCATCCATTTGGCAAGGACTGATTGGCGAGAGTTGCCGGTTGATTTTGGACCACCCCCTACCCATCACATGCAGGGTTTTAGACATATGTGTACCCCTGCTTGCATGTGTCTATCACTTAGCCCTCCCCACCAAGAGTGAGGGGCCAGTCTGTCCACTGAATCTATTTCCTCCTTCCATGGCTTCCATGTCATTTGCTAACTTCCTCTTCCTTATTCCATGGGTCCTGGAAGTGGCCTGGGGCAAGGAGAAATGGCCACTCCACTGTTCTCCTTGGTCTTTGGCAGCTTGGCCTAGGCGGGCAGACTACAGGAGGGACTGGCTTGGAACCAACACTGCTTTGACTTCCCTCCCCTTGGTTAATAAACACAAATGCTTGTTTCTCAAGAGTTAGGTCTTCAGACTCTTCTGTGTTCACAGGGGAGGGTGTGGGGTGACGTGGGATGGACCTTCAAACCCAGTCATTGTTAAACTCAGGATCTGCTGGGGCAGGAGGTCAGCTGTAAGCCTAGTCTGAGGTTTTCTTGTGGCCCCTCCGGAAGACTGGGAGCCTAGTTCATAGTGGAGGAAACAGAGGTCCAGCCGCAGAGTGATTTGATTCTTCTTGATAGACTCAGGAGGCTTTCCCTCCAGGAGCGGGCTGCTGGTGAAGGCTGATGGGTACACGGACCCTTGCCTGACATCTGTGTTCTACCCTCTTCCACCTCCTGCCCAGTTCCCAAGGGCCAGAGAGAGATCTGAAAGTGAGAGTTCTTGGAGGAAGAGTGACGGAGTGACCTCAGCCTCAGTGGAGGGTTGGATGGCAAAGTCATCTTTGGGTTGACACACAATAGTTTTTTGGGCAAAGGAAAAGAAGGGGCTTTGAAGTTTCAGTTCCATCCTGTCTCCCACCAGGTTAATTGCACATGAGGAGAAGACCCTTCCTGCTGAAGCCCTTAGGTCTTGCACAAAGGGTGAAAGCCTGGGGTGGCCTCTGGCCCTAGGTCCCCTTCCTTCCACTCTGGGTGGGGGTGGGGAGGGACAGATTGGAGCTTTCTCTTTCCCATGCGCTGCTGGTGACAGGTTGGATGTGGGTTTTATTTTAAGCATAAAGAGATTTCTGTCAGATTGTTGACAAACAGCTAGTTCAGCCCAGCTTGTCTGTCTGACTGTCCACACCAGTTCCCAGAGGCTGAGTGTTTTGGGGAAGGAAGGGAACTTAAATTGGGTTCTAGAAGATGATAGTGTTGTAGTGCATGAGAATAGAATGTGCCCCTCCATGGTACAGATGGGGAGATTGAGGCACAGTGGGGATGCTGACAGAGGCCAGGGTGGGACCTCCTGGACCCCCTTACTAAAGGAGAATGGTTCTGGTAAGTCCTGCAGAAGCATGGCAGCCCTGCAGAGGGTGGCAAAGACCATGCCCTCTGGGGAGTCCTGCTGGAATTCTGTGCTAAGCTTTACCCCTTGCAGTGGAACTCTCCAGCCTCTCCCTCACACCCACGATTCAAGGAGGTTCGGTGCATTTGGCATATGAAAAAACTTGAGGCTCATGTCCCAGGTGTGGTGGGTGGTGGGCACACCCCTTGTTTCCTGAAGGAGGTGTAAATGCCGTGCTTGGGTCCTTCACACCTGTCTGAGTTCTCGTGTGCTGCTATAACAGAAATACTACAAGCGGATGGCTTGAACAGATAATAGTGTTTCTCTCTAAGTTTAGCAGGCTAGAGTACTGGTTCTGGGGAAAATCCTTGTCTCCTTGCAGCATCTGTAAGCCCACCATTGCTTGGAGCACTCTCTTTGTCTTGGATCAATCTTCCTCTGAATCTAGGAGTTTAAGGACCCCAGGTCCAGAGGACAAACTCAACTTCCAGCCTTTCTTTCTTGGTGGTAGTGGGTCCCCCTTTTCTGCTCACACCTCTTTTCCTTTATCTCTTCTTGTAAGATAAAAAGGTGTTGTAGACCACGCCCCTGGGAATCTCCCTTACATGGGGTCAGGGTGGTGATAGGGACTAAGGATGATGTCGTGAAGTGCCATCTAGTTGGTTTTGACTCATAGTGACCCTGTATAGAGTTTCCAAGGACCAGCTGGTGAGTTTGAACCATCAACCTTGCGGTTCAAACCAACATTATAGTCGAGTGCTTATTCTAGAGCACTAAACCATGACTCCAAGGGTGATGTATACCAATTCTTTTTTTTTTTTAAAGTTTTAACTGTGAATTGAATGAAAGTGTACAGGGCAGATCAGTAGTTTTACATTCAACAAATCATATACTTTGTTTCATGAAAATGGTTATAATCCAAATCTGGCAGCTAACCTCAAGGTCAGCAGTTCGAAACTACCAGCTGTTCCGTGGGAGAAAGATGAAGCTTTCTGCTCCTGTTAAAGATTTACAGCCTTGGAAACCCTGTACAGGGTCACTATGAGTAGGAACTGACTACAACAACAACAATGTACCATCAGTTAACAGTATTTCTCTCTATTCATTTTTAGCTTTTTTTCCCAAAAAAACCACTTAGGCATATATAATAATTTAAACCACCAAGGACACATTCTGTAAGCCAGCTCTCAATGCCTCGCTTTTCATGAATCTAGTCCTCAGTTGCTCCCTCTACCTCCGTCTCTGGTGTCGCTGCTTCTCTGGATGATGTATACCTTTCTTATTGCTGTCACTGATTTATCACGTCAGATCACATCATGGTGGATCATTACATAACTGTCAAACCACTGAGAATCGTGGCCAAGCCAAGCTGACACGCATTTGGGGAGGAGGGGGTAGACACAATTCAATTCACAACAGCACCCATCCTCCCACTGAATATCAGGGTGACCCTTTGAGGGTCAGGAATATTGTCAGAGTAGGAAGTCCTGTCCCACTGCAGGTCAGCAGAACACCCAAGCTAGCAGTAGTAGGACCCCTGATTGTCCCCACACTTCTCTCCCCAATCCTGGTAACCTAAGGTCATTCCTTCTGGTCTCTTTATTGAGCACCTACTGAGTGTCCAGCAGTGAGCAACACAGATGTGGTCCCTGCCCTAGGTTTGTGGAAGGAATGGGAAATTGTCTAACAGTGAGCACATGAACAGTCAGATAATATAGAGGAAGGACTAGGGCTGTGTCCGGGTACTGGGCCAGGAGGGAGGAGAAGAGCATTTCCATAGCCTGTTAGGAAGAAAGAAAGGAAGGATTCTTGGAAGCAGAGACCACCTGACTTTCCTGAGTGGGCTCCCCATCCAGAGGATTCTGGGGCCTGCTAGCCTCCCATGCTGGACTCCCCCACCTGCCAGCCTTGGGGGATCTGTGGAACAGCCTCTCTATTGTTCTACCTCCTGTTGGAATGACAGCAGGAATCATTGCTTTTTAGTCCCTTTGAGGGCCGGCCTGCAGCTGCTGCCCCATCTCCTGGGACTGCCCGGCCTTGGAGCAGGTCCCCCAGGCCAGCCTGGCCCCAGCTGCCTAGCCCCTAATTAGGCCAAGATGAGACTTGCTCCCCAATCCATTTCCCACCAGCTAATTATATACACATGGGCTTGGGAGATGGGCCACCTGGTTGCTCATTTCTGTCATAAAGGTGTGATGGGCTCCTGGGAGTGACTTCCCCTAACCCCATACCTACTAGACCTCAGTTTACCCTTTTGACAGGTTGTGATATAGCTAGAGGGCCCTGTGTCCCTGGGAGGGGGAGGGACACAGATATGACATCTGTCCCCCCAGTTGACATACACATGAAAGGACTTGGAGTCCATCTGGGCTCAAGATAGAACACCTTGTCCAGGAATTTTTCTTAATATTATTTTTCAGATAATACTTGTATACACTGCTCGTAACATTTTATTAGGAAAAATTTCAATCATATGGAAAAGTTGAAAGAATTGTACAGTGAACATATATCTGCTACCCAGATTCACAATTGTTAATATTTTACTGTAGTTGCTCAGTTGTGGAGATACCTATGTACTTAACCTATTCATTAATACTATGTATTTTTAAAAGCTTTTCAGAGTAAATTTCACCCATCAAAATAGATCTCCTGTAAGCACTTCTGCATGTAAATCATTTACTAGAGTCCAATGTTTGTTGACATATATATTATATATATATATATTGTTAAGTGCCGTTGAGTCAGGTTCTGACCCATAGTGACCCTGTATAGTTTCCAGAGAGCTGCTGGTGAGCTTGAACCACCAACCTTGCAGTTCAAACTGACCTTGCAGTAAAGCACATTACCCAGCAGTGCCACACCAGGCCTCTCTCTCTATACATCTATTTGGAGATGGAAATTTGCATACACAGATCTTAAAGATATCATTTGGTGAATTTAGACAAATGTATATTGTTGTTGGGTGCGGTAAGTCGATTCTGACTCATAGCGACCTTGTTAGGACAGAGAAGAACCGCTCCATAGGGTTTCCAAGACTCACTCTTTACCGGAGCGGAGAGCCTCATCTTTTTCCCATGGAGCTACTGGTGGATTTGAACCGTTGACCTTTCAGTTAGTCCAATGCTTAATGAATGGCACCACCATTATCATTCCAGAAAGTTCCGTGTTATTCCTTCTCTGGCAGCTCTCACCCCAACCCCATGGATTGTTGTTGTTGTTAAGTGCTGTTGAGTTGGTTCTGACTCATAATAACCCTGTATAGGGTTTCCGAGGAGCTGCTGTTGGCTTTGAATCACTGATCTTGTTTGGTGTTCATCCTACAGAGCCACGACAGGACTTCGTGCATGCGTCTATATACATCAAATAGTACCTGCCCTTTCGGATCCCAACCCAGCTCTCCAAAGGCAACCACTTCCAACTCTTAGCTAGTTCCTCCATATTGTTCAGTAGGTGGTGGTTTTCTTGATTGATTCATTTTAGGCAGATACAGACACTGCCTGGTCTGAAGTTTTCACAAGTG